ATTTAATTGTCTGAGTGCATAAACCCCCAACCTGGCCAAATTTGGTCTCAGAACCATCTCACTGCCCTTGAGTTGAATGCAACTCATAGTGAGCCCTTCTTGGGTTTCCAGAGGGTTCTCCAAGGCAGTATCTTTACGGAAGTAGATTGCCTAGTCTTCCTTCCGAGGAGTGGCTGGTGGGTTTCAACCACCAGCCTTCTGGTTAGCAGTCAAATGCTTTAGGCACTACGCCACCAGAGCTTCTGGAGAACTGGTTTACCAGCACACCGGTGGTTATCTCCATCTATTTATCATGTTAGACATTAAAATGGAGAACTTTTGAAAATGTTTATTCAGCTAAAAACAAAACGCGTCATGCAGCCTCTGGAAAATTCAACTGTAGGTACACTGCTGACAGAGTAAGACTGAGAAAGGGAAAATACTCTCTTAGTGTTATTAGAGTAAGTTGAGGCTCTCCTTTGAAAGGGTCTCAGGGACTCTTTGAGAATCACTGCAACGGAGCCTTTCTCTTTTCTCAGCTTATTTAACAGCATCTCTGTCATAAAACACAATTCGGTCAATTAAGGAGCTCCGGTAGAGTTTGGTTTGTGGTCAGTTACTCTCACGTACATTTGGTCCAGTAATTTTGAAAGGCACAGCCACATTGTGATGCATATCAAGAAAGGAAATTACTGTTGGTGACTTTGTTTTTCTCCTTAATTCTCACTATGGCACAGTCTGTGAAGGTAAGTCCTAGTTGAGGGACTTAAAAAGCTTGGTGGTAAGCACTGCTTAACTTTTCCATTTGCTGCTGGAGCTCCAAGCTTCCTACAGAACATGCCAATATTTTTCTTAATTTCTTAAATCTGGAAGTATAACCTAAAATTTTCCAAGTGTATATTCAACAGCTAATTATTCCATTTCCTTAAAAATGCTATTTTTGACTTGATAGGAAAATACAAAACTTTTATGTATGTCAAGAAAATTCAAATGTGTTTTTGGATTCAAATGTGTGTATTTAGAAAAACTAGCAACATAAGTCTTGAAAAATCACTCTCTGGTTAGAGTGGGAACCCTACTTCGGATGGCCAGGAGCAGACATTAGTTGACTTTATTCATCTGTCTATTCCTGAAATACTTGTGATGGGTCCAGGCTTCAGAAACTTAAAAAGCTTGTGTGTTAACTTGAAAGTTCTGTGTGTTAACAGCAAGGCAGGCTTCAAACCAGTTCAGTCATGGCTAAGGGAAACAGGGGGAGAAGAATATGTGTTGCCCAGCAACCAAATTTCTTGCGTGTTGGATTTTGACCTAAGAAGCAAACAGACAGAAAAGAAGGCAGCCAACTGGAGTACCGCTGCCTATCTCCTACTCAAGTCAAAATCTGACATGCAGGAGATTTGGTTCCTATGCAATGTGTACACTACCCTTGTTTCCATTGGTCAAGACTGAACTGTTTTGAACCAGTTCAAAGTCTTGATTTATAGAATCCTTGTTAAGCAGAAATCATTTTTTCATTGACCTAGGTTCTATTGACCTCCATATTTTGGTTAAGATTAGAAGCAATAAGAGGCAAAGACAAGAGATCAGAGGGTGGGGGAAATGGGGCCAGTGTATTCCTGCTTTACATTTTGTGGGCCTAGGGGTGCTACCAGTTTCCTTTAACTGCTAATCCCTGGGGCTTCATGAGAGCCCTCGTGGAGCAGTGGTTAAAGAGCTCTGTTGCTAACCAAAAGGTCAGTAGTTCAAACTCACCAGCTACTCTGGATGAGGCAGTCTGCTTCCATAAATATTTACGGCCTTGGAATCCCTATGGGGCAGTTTTACTGTGTCCTTTAGAGTCACTGTGACTCAGAATAGACTCCATGGCAATGTTTTTTTTTTTTTTATTCATTTATTATTCTCCTTCCCTACTGTTTTTTTTTTTTTTTTTTTTTTTTTTTTTTTTTTTTTTTTTATTCCCTTAACCCTGTCCGGGGAGCTCTGGTAGCATAGTGCCTAAGGCACTTGACTGCTAACCAGAGGGCTGGTGGTTCAAACCCACCAGCCACTCCTCGGAAGGAAGGTTGGGCAATCTACTTCCGTAGTGATACTGCCTTGAAAACCCAAGGAAGGGTCGCTATGAGTCAGGTCCAACTCGACAGCACATAACAACAACCACAACCCTATCCACACCTCTGTAAATTAACTCTTTGTTAAACACTCTTCAGTTAAACTCTTAAAAATGTGCCATCCTGTCAGAGTCTTCCTGAAAGACAAAGTAATAATAAATTTTAAACAGAGCTGAAGCAAATTTTCAAGTTTATTAATATAGATTACAAGAAATTTTAGAAAAGAGAGTGTAAAAACAGTGACACAATATTTTATACATACAGAGTGATAGTACAATAATAGTCATATTAAGTCAGAAGTATTTTAATATATTCAGACTGAATAAACAATAACAATGAAAATCCACTGATTTGGAGAAAATGAATATAGTAATAACTAAATTAATAAAATCAGTGCAAGCTTCCACTTACAATACATACAGTAATATTACTTTGGTGTAAATTCTTTTATATTTAGAAATTGAATGCTCTTTTAAACAGGTAAATATTTGCCTGGCAATTTTCCAATTTTTATTTTTGTTTAATACATGCCCCCACTTTTAAGGTAAGGATAATAAAGATATTTGGAACCTGATTTTCAAATGATTTTGTCAATTCAATGAGGAATTTTGTGTTCTTGATACTCATTATGGGGTTAGAAATTCTGTTTTAAATATTCTTTTTTTTTCCATTAACTCTTAAGAAAACCAAACTCACTGTCATTGTGGCAATTACGACTCATGGCGACCTCCACTGGGTTTTGGAGGTGGTAAATCTTTAAAGAAGTAGGTCATGCCATCTTCTTTCCACAGAGCGGCAGGTGGGTTTGAAGCACCAGCCTTCTGGTTAGCAGTTAAATGCCTTAGGCACTATGCCACCAGAGCTGCTCCTTAACTCTTAAGAAAAGTAAATCGAAAATACAGAGGAATTTTGCAAGATTTCAAAGTCAATTCCAGTGTTGTTATTTCTAATTATACTATCACATTAATTCTTAAAAAAAAAAAAAAAAAAAAAAACTGATTTATTGAACAAACATTTGTAAGTAGTGTCCAGTTAAAGTAGACTGGAGGAATAATTTTAAACAATGCACTTTCTGCATTGTATTACATTTTCATCTCAACTATAAACACAGGAAGCAGTAACCCAATGTTCAAAGTTCTTTCCAACAGGCATTGCTTGCGTGCGCCATGCTTGTTGACACTAGCTAAAAACGCTTCTGCATATACATTTATTATACGTATCTCATGCTCCATTTCAACTATTTATGTGTTGGTCTGCTGTGTTTTTCTTGAGGGTACGTCTGAATCTCACTCGCTCTGTATCCACAGCACCTGTCAGAGTGCCCATAGCACATTGTAGGTATTCATGACTGCTCCATGGTGTTTTCATGTGAGAATTGACCTTTAAGTACTTGAAGTGAATTTTTTTTTTTCTTAAAAAGGGTGGAGAAGCCTTTCATATTCATCACCTCCTAGGATATCACTTCCTGCTTCACCAATTTCTAATAAACATGACGAGGACACAGCCACCTTAGGGGTTAACACTGGAAGGGTGGAGCAAAAGTGTGGGTCCACAGCTCTCTGCTCTCTGGCATGCTCAGCCGAAACCGCCAACACGCTGGAGGGTTCCTGACACCGCCCTGCGCGTGTCTACTGCTTGGAGTCCTGCATCAGGCCGAGCAGGGTGAACGAGTGCAGCTCCCAGGGGCGGATTTCTCTGAAAGCTGATGGAAAGTCTCTAGTAGACTTACGCTGAGTCTTGGCTTACATATACAGTGTGTAACACCTCAAAAAATGCTACCCGTGCCGAAAGGAAGGGTTTCCATCTGTTTTAATAATCTGAAGGATTCAGACTTTGATATGTTTAAAATAAAAAATACTAGAACTTTTTCTACACACAGAAACAGATACTAAGTCTTATCCCTTAATAACTTAAACATTGCTGTTGAACAATTTCAAAATATGCTTATTTGAAAAAGCTATATAAGTGCAAACCATGAAATATGTCACTACAGATGGACATCTTCACGTATTCAGGACTAAACCTCAGCAACCTACACTCTACATACTAAATCCGTGATTATTCCCATAAACTCTGGAATAAAAGATGTTTTCAAAGTGCCTATTCTATACTGTACTGCCATAAATATGTATGTATGTATATATATATACACACATACATATATAAGCACTCTGGTGGTATAGTGCCTAAGGCATTTGACTGCTAACCAGAAGGCTGGTGGTTCAAACCCACCAGCCACTCCTTGGAAGGAAGGTTGGGCAATCTACTTTCGTAGTGATCCCGCCTCAGAAACCCAGGAGGGATCACTATCAGATCTGAATCAACATCAGTAAGTTGAGTAGAGTGGAATTATAAAAGGAC